TGCTCTCTCTTTTTCTCTCTCTCTCTCTCTCTCTCGCGCTCGCTCGCGCACACGCACGATGCGCAAAACTCCGCATTTGAACAGTCAATAGCAAATACTTAAACTAATAACAAAACAGTAGCTGATTCAGAAGCGCCAGATTGTCATAGCAAAGTCAGAATTACCTCCTCTCCTAGGTTCACGAAACGGTCGTCCATAAAATGCATTGCTGTTCTGTTGTAAGTAATCTTAAAGATTCCTAAATGCATCTACTTTCGGAAGGCCAAATAATGTGCTTTTGCTTTCGCCTAGAAACACACAGCTTCTCCCTGACATGGCTGCTTCAACACTAACTGCTGTTCCTGAAACCACGCCTTCTTTCTTTGCGTGATCATTTGGGCGCATTATGCAAATATTTCCACATGGTGATGTAGATATGTGGGGGCGTGTTAGAACGAGCCGTTTTAGGGGGGCGTGGCAGAGCCTTAACTTTGATAAAGAATATCTCTTTGGTTTTGAGACTTTAGTCTTTGCAACTTCAGGGATCTTATCTATGCACAATCAGCTTGTAACACTCCAAAGAGAAAGGAAAACTTGAAATCGCATCATATGACCCCTTTAAAATTGCTTATTTCTCTGGATTTAAACATTCTTCGAAACATTTGGGATAATTAAAGTACACAAGTCAGCAAAATATATAACACTGTTCTAGTGGTTTTTGGATATTTTAATAAAAAAATCTTACATATTGTGCCTTTAATTAATATTTCCTTTGATAGGATTTCTCTGCGAGTCTTCTGTCATTCTCATCTATTTGAAGTACAGACAAGCTTTGTAATTTACTTTTTTACAGAAGAAGATTTTTACTATTTACAGAAGTTAAAACGTTGCCTTGCCCCGTGTGAGGCTCGAACTCACGACCTTCAGATTATGAGACTGACGCGCTGCCAACTGCGCCAACGAGGCTGTGACGACAAGTCTTGCAAAGGCTTCTGGGAAAAATACGCGGACCAATACATTTTTCAAAACTTATTACATATTTTACTCCGCAGGAACGCGGCTAATGCTTAATTTTATTTTATTTATTTATTTATTTTATTGAGAAAAATGTGCTTTTGTTGACTGGAAGTTGACGTAGTTTATACGTTGCCAAATAACTGTGCAAGCTGCGGATGATTACGCTGTGGCGACACCTAACGGGAGCAGGAGAAGCAGAGAGATACATGTTTTACCATTTTTCCAGTTAGTTTTTTTCCAACTCTACCAGTTAATTGCTTGTGCAAATGACAAAATATTTATTTAGACTTTATATTGTTTACACTCACAAATAATATTGTGGTTCCAAAAACAAGACAATTAAATTATTCCAGAGGTTATAATTTATTTGTATATGCCAGTAGTTAAAGAACTACGAAATAATTAACCATATAAAGCCTGCTTTATCATATATGATACATTAATTTCTAATGGCCTCTACATTATGAACATGATCAGAAATTTGCTTGAAAAACCTTCTGCGCTCTGACTGCTAATTCATACTTTTTTAGTAAGTAAAAAAAAAAAAAAAAAAAAAGGTATACCTTCAATTTGTGGTACGCTTTTCTGTTTTGCTGTGAAATCTTTAATGAGTTTTATAAGGTAAACTTAAGAATGAATAACTTTTATATTGTTAGTAATATTTCAATATTAACAGTTACTGGACTGAAGCAACTTAATTTTCCATAATCTATGTTCAAATTAAGAAACAAATATGATACAACGGCCTTTTGAGGAATGTTTATTTGTACATCTCTCAGTCATCATTGTATTTCATTGCATTATATATTTCCCCCCACAATAAAAACTAGAGCTTTGATCATCAAACTAAACATTAAAATATCTCATTATTATTATTAGGATTAATAATATTAGGAAATAAAAAGTGACAACTGATATTACATGCATGTCAGTAGTATTTTATGCTGTTATAAAAAAATATCAGCACCAAATAGGCTGGCATATTTTGATCAAATTGGGCCTCTGAATAAATTTGAGGTGTTTTCACCCCTTATGTATGAGCTACATATCTTCCTGTATCATACTACATGAGCCATAAAATCCTAATGAATCAAATATGATACAAAATATAAAACACATGCAAACTTTAAAAAATATATATTTGTAACTAAAGGTTCAATAAACTGTTACATTAAAAAAAAAAGACTGACTATTATTTCATATGTCAGACTTTAAACTGTATTAAACTGTTGAATTTTATACTATTAAGTATTTACAGAATGATGCGCCATTAAGCACAAAGGCCAACAACAACAAAAGAAAACTCAATCTCCCATGATGCCGTGCGTTTCCTCCGCTATCTCGCGCCTTTCCATCTTGTTCCTCTCGAGAGCTCAGCACCGTAGTTGTTGTTGTGGTATGTAATAATGGCGGCAGCAGGAGGCGGATTACCAGCCTCGGCTGTTGTAGCGACCGTAAACACCTCCGCCACCGTTCGCTGCCGTTTCCCAGGTCGGCCATGGACGTCCCGGAGCCTGCTGAAGACGGAGAAACGCTTTCACGTCGGTCGGTTGAGGGCTGCTGAAGACAGAGAAGGGCCGAGGCCCGTCGACGTTAGAGCTACGCTGAGAGAGGATCCGTCACTGTCGCGCTTGCTCGGGCTGGAGGAAAAACACCGGCGCCAGCGCGAGGCGGGATTCTGCACGAGCGGGAGCGATGAGGTGAGCGTTCGTTTAGAGAAATAACGTTACAGTACTAATGCGCGGAAAGTGCATCATCAGCTTGTGGCTGAGTTGCTGGTGTCAGTTCCTGCAGAGATGCAGCCACCTGATCATAGCGGCACGGTCGTAAACTTCACGGATTACAGAGATGGAGTCTCTGTAAAGCGTTTAAAGAGACGCCAGTCGTATCTTGGGCTTTTGCCGGGCTGTCGAGCTCTCGTGGCGGGTGTTTAACTCCGGTTGGCGGTGTTGCCGTGGCTACGTTACTGGGATTGTTTGCGGTTCAGTGACAGCGTGGTATTCGCTGATTCGTTGTAAGGGAGTTTGTGTAAAGTTATAGGCTTTGGGATTTAATGTCAGTGTTGTTGACATCATGTCTGTTTTTCTCAATCGATAGTATTTGTTACATATTTAGTTCAAATGTTTGGGAGGCGTGGCGTTCATCTGGAATATGATACAGTTATTGTTTATGCATTCTGTCGGGAATCGTCTTTGTATGGTTAAAATATGTAATGTTTCTAAAAAAGCCTACATCCGTCAGCTAGCTGTGTTTACAGACAAGTTAATTGCTTCATAGTAATCTTGTTAATCAGTCACGATGTGCTATAAGCGTTGTTCAACTTCATTTTCATTCAGTAAAACGTTTAGTACAATAAGAACTGCTTAATTTGAGTTGTATGTACCCAAGTGTATGAGTGCTTTTTGTCCACTTTTAATTATGTTAAATAAGAGATTATCCAAGTAAAGCCTGACATATGAAATAATACTTTAAAAAGAAATCTAGAAAAGCTTGCATATGTTTTGTATCATATTTGATACGTCAGGTTTTTATGGCTCATATTAGAAGAGAAAAAAACACTTGAAATTTGGTGCAGATGTTATTTACATGGCAAAAAGTTAGATGGAATTCTGATAGCTTGTAATTTAAATCAGTGAAATTTTTTAGATCTGTATAACTGAAAACTGAGTTGTCAGTCAATATCTTAGTAAGGTGATATGTAAATGCTTATAGTTTTATGATCAAAGCTCTCTTCAAGCTCCACTTGTGTACAATGCAATACAGTGACGATTTAGAGATGTACAAATGAACATTCCTCAAAAGACCAGGCTCTATATTTGATGCTTATGTTTTAACACAATTTTTCAGG